TAGGTAACTTGCCTGCCTTAGCCCTGGACCCCCGCTGTGCTGCTAACTGGACTTTTAATGGTCTGTGGTACCAACCAGAGCCACCAGGTCCCTTTTTGACCAGCTGTTCTGGTTGAAAATCAGATGCTTGGGAAGCATAACTGAGGGATTGGAATAGAGTGAGCTAGAGACAGGCTAGGGGCACTAGATCAGAAGGGTCTATAACCAGGGGCAGCCCGTGCCAATAGGCAAACTTGGTAGCTGTCTAGGGCGCCAAGTTAAATGGGGCGCCAAATTCCCTGCTACTTCCTCTTCCCCTTCCCAGGAGTGCAGTGGCTTCCCTGCACTGCAGGAGGGGTTAGTCAGCCCCGGAGGAGGAGTGCGGGGAGTTGGCCCCAGGGGAGGCGGTACGCGGGGGTTCCCAGCGCCGTGGGAGGGGAGGTTGGCCCTGGGAGAGGTGGCGCATGGAGGTTCTCTGTGCCGCGGGAGGAGAAGCGGCCCCAGGGGAGGCGGCATGCGGGGGTTCTCCGGGGAGGTAGTGCGCGGGGGTTCTCCGAGCTATGGGAGGGGGGTTGCCCCTGGAGAGGCGTGTTCTGGCTTCCCTCAGGGGCGGGGGAATCCTGGGAGGAGGTGGGTGCAGGGGACTCTCTCCCCCCACTGGCACCCCGTTCCCTCTCTCCACTTCCCTGTCCCCAGCCACAGAACTCCATCCCCAGCCCCTTCTCCCCAGCGATGTGGTGGTAATGGCAGTTAAAGCAGGATAGCGTAATGGACTATTTTGGAATTGTAATAATAAAAATTATAATTAACATTTGTAATGCATTTTTATTTGAAATCATACTGAAATATCATCTAGCTGTTGTGTACAAATCTATTCTGAAAATTTCCTATCTCTATTTTAATCTGATCTCAGAAATATTGATTGGACGGATGGACAAACTGAATAATTATGCCTGTTTAAATAAATATGCTTAAAAAACATTAAATGGAAAATAGGGGCAAAATGTTTCCCAGTTTACCAAAAACCTCAGCCTATGGCTGTGTCTAGACTGGCAAATTTTTCCACAAAAGCAGCTGCTTTTGCGGAAAAACTTGCCAGCTGGCTACACTGGCCGCTTGAATTTCCGTAAGAACACTGACGATCTCATGTAAGAAATCAGTGCTTCTTGTGGAAATACTATGCTGCTCCCATTCGGGCAAAAGTCCTTTTGCGCAAAAGCTTTTGCGCGAAAGGGCCAGTGTAGACAGCTCAGATTTGTTTTGCTCAAAAAAGCCCCGATTGTGAAAATGGCGATTGGGGCTTTCTTGCGCAAAACCGTGTCTAGATTGGCACGGACGCTTTTCTGCAAAAAGTGCTTTTGCGGAAAAGAGTCCATGCCAATCTAGACGCTCTTTTCCTTAAATGCTTTTAACAGAAAAACTTTTCCGTTAAAAGCATTTGCGGAAAATCATGCCATTCTAGACATAGCCTTTATCTGCCCTTGGGGTAGGGGTGGGGGGCGTCGATTGAATGGTTCGCCTAGGGCGCCAGTTGCTGGCAGCTAGTCTGGGGCTGCTCCTGTCTATAACCATGAGAAAGCACTGGCAGCCAGGGCTTAGAACTGAACCCAGGAGTCTGTCAACATTCCCCTGCTGTCACCTGCCATCCAATTTACAGAAATTCTGGGGACTCACAGATGCAACTGAAGTCAATAGGAGCTGGGCTTTGGGCACATAAAGTATTATCTAATGCTATGCACACTAAAAAAAATTCTAGCTGTAGGCATCTCAAATTGGGATCCCAACATTAGGGAATACTTTTGACCTTAAACTCTCAGTGTCTCAATTTCCCATTAGCAACAGTGTTAATGTAATAAATAAGCCCACAATGAAATTAATAATTCTGTCTTCAGAGTGGGATTTGAATAGCGTGCAGTAAATCATGGAATCATAGGGCTGGAAGAGACCCCAGAAGGTCATCGAATCCAGTCCCCTGCCCAAAGCAGGACCCAAGCCCAACTAAATCATCCTAGCCAAGGTTTTGTCAAGCTGAGACTTAAAAACTTCTAGGGATGGAGATTCTACCACCTCCCTAGGTAACCCATTCCAGTACTTCACCACCCTCCTAGTGAAATAGTTTTTCCTAATATCCAACCTAGACCTCTCCCACTGCAACTTGGGGGCATGGGTGGCATGAGACCACCAAAAGAGGAGGTTAAAACAAAATAATACATAGCTACTCATTGAGGGCATGTCTACATAGCAGCGTTATTTTGGAATAACTCACGTTGTTTTGAAATAACAAGAGTGTGCGTCTGCACAGCAAGCTCATTATTTTGAATTAATTTTGAAATATTTGAAATATTTTGAAATATTTCATGAAGAGTAAGGTAAGTCAAAGGGAGAGTGTTCTTCCTTCAACTTCCTGCAGTGTAGAGAGCACCAAAAGCCAAGTTAAGGTACTTTGACTTCAGCTATGCAATTAACATAGCGGAGTTGCGTATCTTAATTCAACTTTAGTCCCAGTGTAGATGTACCCCTAAGGGTACATCTATGCAGCAGTGTTATTTTGGAACAACTGGCATCTTTAACATAATGTCAAAATGATGTTGAGCTGGAGGACTTCTTACTCTGACTCCTGTAACCCCCATTTTACAAGGAGTAAGGGAAGTCGGAGGAAGGGAGCTCTTTCTCACACTTTTTCTCACACTTCGTGCTGTATAGACAGTGGCAAAAGCCGAAATATGTTATTTTGGCCTGAGTTATGGAATTGACGTAGCTCAAGTTGCTAAGCTTATTTCAGTTTTAGCCCTGCTGCGTAGACGTGCCCTGAGTGAGCATCAGAACCATAGATTGGAAAGCTTGTGGCTGATTCTCTCTCTCACTCACATGGGTGTAAATCAGGAGTTATGCCTTTGAAATCAGTAGAGTTACTCTGACATCAGTGGAAGGAGAATCAGGTGCTAAATCCATTGGAAGTCAGAAGCAGAAGTATTATTCACTGCCACAGGATTCTGTGTACTAACACTGGTGAGCAAAACAAAATTTTGCTTTAATTTCCCTTTTGTTTCAGTCCGGTGCTAAGTACAGTAAAAGGTCTGCTGTTCATCAGTATGAACCTTCCCCCCCCCCATCTCTTTTCCACCTTCAGTCTCATGTTTTGAATTTTTGTAGGAGGGTCACACCTTTGTTTCTCATCTAGCAATAGATAATAGATTACAACAAGCTATTTGTAGAGTTAGCCAGAAAAGATTAAGTGATATCTTCAAAGGTTCTGGGGGAAAAGCAATCAATACAAGCAAGGAGATAACTGGGAAGTTGGTCAGGATAAAGGTAACACTGAGGTCTGAAGGGTAGGAGAAGATAAGAAAGAAAGAAAGAAAGAAAGAAAGAAAGAAAGAAAGAAAGAAAGAAAGAAGCTTTACATAACCCAAGTGTTACAGTAAATATAAAGAAGTGTGGGGGTTGACTAAAATAATCTGTACTGCATATCTCTTTTCATATATGCCAAGCCATGTGAATTTCAAAATCACTTGCACAAGTATTCTTGTGCAAGAGGCCAGTGTAGACAGCAACGTTAATTTCTTGCGCAAGAAAGCCCGATAGCTAAAATGGCCATCAGAGCTTTCTTGTGCAAGAGAGCGTTTACACTGACACAGATGCTTTTGCGCAAAAGCAAATCTTTTGCGCAAAGGCACATGCCAGTATAGACGCTTTCTTGTGCAAATACTTTTTAACGGAAAACTGTGTCTTAGCCCTGCTGTCTGCTGACCAAATGTTTTCTAGGATTCCTGCATGCAGCTGCCTCTGGTTCATACTGTAACTGTAGGCATATTGGGGTAGCCACAGCTTAGTTGCATGAGATTTCCACCGTCAGCTGTGTTTTCAGGCACCATTTATCATGTACCCTTAACCCTTCCTATGACTTTTCCTGGTGTGAAGTACAAGCCAGCTGCTTGGACGTAAGTCTCTGGCACTCCACCTGGATGATCATGGAACACTATTATTGCAACTTCAAAACTGCTGTTTTGAAGATTAGGCAAAACTTTGAGAGATGGAAGAGCAAGCAGAGGGGTGTGTGTGTGTGTGTGTGTGTGTGTATGTGTGTTACAAAGTTTATATTTTGTATGTGAAATTGTACTAACAAACTGTTCCACTGGATGGAAGGTCACCGGACCAAATTCTAATCTCACACAGGTGTACACCAATATTCCCTGTAAACTGAGTGCTTGTGGAGCCACTCAGAAGAGATTCCAGTGCCACTCAGGGGATTAGCCGAGCACCCACAGCTAGGCTTTGTGTTTCTCATGGTGGTGCACATTTGCACACGCCTCAGTGTACATAAAAATTATTCTGCACATGGGTGGAAAAACCCACACATGGATGGAAAAGATGAGGGGGAACATTGGTGTAAACCTAGGAAAATGCCATAGGTTTTAGTGGGGTTACTGCTGATTTTTTGTGGTGTGAGGTCAGAATTTTGGCGCTTTGATCCCAGACGGCTTGACCCAGCAACCGGTGCAGAATTTGACCCCTGCAAGAGGGTAAGAAAATGTAACCAGAAAGTTGCTTCTTGCACTATAATGCAAACCATCCGAGCCTGAGCCACGACTGCCCCCTTCACCCACATTCCACGCGTGTACTGTATTTTGAACTAAAACTCCTTGGGATTAAGGCTGCAGGGAAGCCTCTGGTAATCACTTTGCTGCCGGATTTATGCAGCCTCCACGCCGGGGGACGCGCGGGGCTCCTCACAGCGCAGAGAACTTCCCTGGGTTAGGTCCCGCGTGTCGCTCTCTGGCTGGGGAGGGCGACGGGCCGGGAAAGGGGCCGGTTGCCAGGCTCGGGGAGGGCAGTGCGCGAGGTAACCTCCGGGGCTGGATTTGCCCTTGCCAAAACCAGGCTCATCCGTCAGCCAGCCCCCCCCTCCCTCCTCCAAGGGGTGGGGAGGGGGTTGCTGAAGGGGCGGGGGAGAAGGGAAGGGAGGATGATCGCCGGCTAGTTTCCACCTCTATCCTCACAGATAGGTGGCCCCAGGGCGCCGAGCCATAGGCACAGCCCTCCCCCTTGCCTCCCGCCCCTTCCCCCCTCTCCAAAACCGCAGGAGCCGCAGTGGCTCCGCTGCACTCCCTCGGCTCCGGTGCTAGCAGCGGGGAGGGGGCGGGCAGCTCCGGCCCAGAGCGCGCTGCTAGCCCATTGCCATGGCCCGGACGGGTGCCAGCCTCTAAGATGCTGGGGGGGAGCCAACCGCACCGGCCAGGCGGCTGGGATCGCTGCAGGGTCGGGGAGAGGTTGCACGCGGCCCTGGCTGGCCTCCAGGAGCTCCAGGGGCTGCGGGAGAAGCAGCGGTCGCTGGTGAGCGGGGCCCTGGCCATGCAGCAGCCGCCGGCAGCCCGCGAGGAGCAGGCGCGCAGCAAGGAGCACAGGCTGGAGGCCACTCTGACTGCTTTGAAGGAGCAGCTGGTAAGGAACGAACCGCCCAGCTGTTTGGCCACAAGCAGTGTTTTGCGTCTGGGTGCAGCAGGCTCCGGCTGTGTGTTTGGGTGCGTGCGGCGTGTAACAATGTCTCGCGGTCTGTCATACACCAGGGTAGCTCCGTGGTAACAGACACGGTGCCAGTGACACCAAACTGCAACAGAACGACTCCGTGACCAGGCTGTGGCTGTGTTTAAACAACACACCGCGATAGAGCTACGCGCTCATGCACAAGGCACACTCGCTGCTGGCTTTAACTTGTGCCATTCATAAATGTTTTTATGCTCGTGTGGGTGAGGGAGAAACCTTGGGCCGTGTCATCAGAAAAATGACTTTCCCCCCTTTATAGCATGCTCCTATTTATTGAAGGAACATTCCCTGTCTGCAGCAGATGATTGGAACGAGCAGTTTCACATTTTAAGGGCAGAAAACTGTAACCACATGTGAACATGAACGTAGTTTTGTATTTGGTTACTCCCGCACGTTTGGACATTTCAAGTTTATTATAAAGTGCGAGTGAGTTGTCTAGTGTGAAATGATTAGCTGGGGCAAAATGGTTGGAATGGAGGATGAGTGACTTCCAAGTCTTTGGGTTTTGTGGTTGAAATTAACGTCTTGTTTTACTTATTATAAAAATGTTATAATTTTTTTATTTACTGTAATTTAGACTTCCAGAATTAAGAATAGTGGCT